TACTGCAGATGGTTTCCTGTATTGCACTGAACCTTGAGATCTTTCATTGTTTCCAAACTTGAGCTCCTTTCATGATATTTACCCCACTTCACATATCCTGGTCAATACTCGTAATATGTTTTAGTGTGCCCATATTGCTGCCACTATACGCACCATAGAATATTTCTATTTTTTTGCAACTCCTTTATTTTCATTCAAGAATAATGTAAAAATGTCTTCTCTGAATTTTTTTTTTTTTGTAATGTATATAAAGAACATAAGAAAGAGATTTTTGAACCTGTAGATTACATTAACTAAATTCGTGGCTTTAAAACCCATTTTTTTTATTATTCTTTAATGATGTCGACTGGTGTTCCATGGTGCAAATATTTAACAACAATCCTTGGGCACCTGTTGTGTGGAAGTTGAATGAAAATCCATATCTTCATTTCATAGGATCGTGAATTCAGTTTTTAATAAATATCAGGTATTTGTAGGGTATATGATTATACCTTTCAATGTAGACTTAGTTGAAATATAGAAAAATACTCTGAGTCTCAAATTAATTTTAACTTTATAAAAAAATGTCAGTGCATTACACCATATTCATCTAAAAATCAACATATACAGATAATGCAATAACGCATCATTCATACAATAACACTATAAACAATTTCTGCCGTTCTTTTTTTACTTTTATTTTACATTTTAACCCACAGATATAGTTTAATAAACAGTACGACAATCAATGAATGATTGGAAAGAGTGAGAAAATTTGAAAGAAAGACACCAAGTTGATGGATATAGATTGGAAGAGTTATGTAGATATTTTGCAGAATCCTGGTGACAATTATAAATTGTGATGTGTGAGTATTATTAGAGGTATATGTATGTTGATGTTTTAGATGAATTTGGTGCAATATACTGAAGCTACTTATGATGTTAAAATAAACTTGAGACTGAATTTAAGGGTATTTTTCTATATTTCAAGAGTAATATATATACAATCTACCTATTATAAACAGATTTAGTTTTAAATGTATTAGAACAAGCTTCATTTTCTCAAAAAGAGATGAAAGTGTGGCGATTCCTTACACTGGAGACCAGATAGCTCAGTGGTTGAATACTGACTTCCAGAGCTTACTGACCCGCGTCCGAGTCCGGCTAATGACTAGTAATTTTTCCTCAGCCGAGGATTGACTTTGAGATCGGGCGTGATCCTCTTGGGGCACACTCCAGCCTCTATAAAGTGGGTACTCTTAATTAAAGTTGAGTGTGATATCCGCGCATCACCTCCCTCTATAACTGTTGGCCTTGTAACAGTACTTCCTCTCGTAGTACTGAATCCAAGACACTTAATGGTTATAGTGGTGGTGCAGGAGAATTCCTTACAGTATTTATAAAATTAGTGTTGTTTTTTTGTTTTTTGGGGTTCTCCCCTACCTCGCCTTTAAGGCTATGCGGGGTTTTTCCCGGGCCAGGGGGTGCGGGCGGGGATTTAAAAGACTCCCCTAGCACCAGACGCGAACTTATGACTATTTAAATCCATTGTTTCCTAGATCAGGTTGCTTGGCAACGGCGGGCACACTCGCTAGCCCCTTTGGCTACCCCGCCCTCCACTTACTTATATGTGTACTATGTAGCAAGAGAAAGAAGGTATTACGATCGTGAAAATTTTCAAATCTGAGTTTTCAACTGAAATACGTGTTTTGAGGTCCCCTGTATCCAAATAAAGTCCTGCAAAATGGGTGTGTGTATGATTTTTATGACCACCACCCCGGACCATCTTCTTACTCAACAATATACCATGGTCAACCATCAACTATTTTAAATTATTTTTAATATAATGTAAATCTCATTCTTATTGATGTTCCCTAACAGTGTTTAAATGTTTAATTTCTTCTAAATTACCTTTAATTTTTTTTATTTTAAATAATTAACCATTTAACATTAGAAACTGACATAAAAAATGGTTAAATATAATGAATGAAGAAAATTGAATAGTAACTAACAGAGAAATAAGGATTGGAAGCTATACGGAAACAGCCAATCCTGCACGTTTTCAGATATGCGATACCCCTCAGTAAAGGGCTTTCATATTTTTAATTTAACTTTTATATATCACTTACCCATAATTTTTTAATAAGGTTTTCACGCCAAATGTTGAGGATCTACTAATACAAATCTAATAATATACAGTAGTATTTACTGATTTTGAGTTATTTTTTCCCATAATCATTATATTATTATTGTTTTACTGTGTATTATACACAGTCATAAAAGGAAATAAAAAGCAATGGAAACTTATAAATTTAACAATTCCGATGAGCGGTAAAAACATGTTAATTAATCTACTCTAAGATTTTTTAATTTTGAGAAGTCCTCTTACTTCTTGTGACTGCAAGTTGATAACTTTGGTTAGAAACTGAAAACTGTTAGAGGTTGGAATATATTCTGTTAGTTATTTCTATACTCTTATCTCATTTCAATCTGTAATAATTCTTTTTCAACCAATGACCCGCTTCCAGGTGTCAAGGTCATCGTCTGTATCACCATTAAAGTCCATTGGGTGGCTTACTCCATGTTGAGATGATTCCACTCTCATTGGCAGTTAAATCAGCTCATCTTTGTTTTGTAGTTTGTCTTTCCCACTGTTGTCTTCAGAAAATACTTTAACTGTGTAAATAAAATATTATCTACAGTTAATCAACATTTTTTGAAACACAACAGTAAACTAACTTTTCTACATTACTTAACATCAATAGTTGTTTATTCGAGAAATTTAAATATAAAATATAATTAAATACCATTATCCAATATTTTAATTAAAATTAAAAAGTACTGGTCATTGTTTTTTTTTCAGTGACTACCACTACTACTACTACTACTGCCTCATTGTATAGTTTTAATTTAGAACTAAAATAAATATTCTGTTGGGAAAAAAAATCATTAATATTTATTATTGCATAAAAAAACATTTTTGAAATATAGAATGAATAACAAATAACATTTCTCAAAAAAAAAAAAAAAAATATATATATATATATATATATATATATATATATATATATATATATATATATATATAGAAGTATTTTTTTAATCAATGATAAATATAAATAATGTTTATTTTCCTACCAGCACTAGGCAAGAAAGTATCGTAATTGTATCGAGTTTTCGATGCATTTCAGAGCTCCTTGAATTCTACAAACTCATTTTCAGACCTTGTTCTGTTAAACTGTGTTTATGTAGATGCTTAGACTCCTGATGAAGGTGTCCCGAGTGGTAAATATCAATAATATTTACCTGTGCAAATGCAAAATGTATTAAGAGCGTGATGCTTTGGCTTTACTAAGGGAAAAGATTTCAAGTTACTTAGTGATTTAATTTAATAACATAGTATTTAATGAATTTTTACAATAAACTGGCAATGTGCCTCTTTTTTTTTAAAGCTTCCTTATCTGAATATTCATCAATATCTGAGATGGCACATGTAGGTAGTTGAAAAGTTATTTCCTTTACCTGAATTATTGTTTATAATAAGACAGTCTCTTTGTTGTAAAAAGTATGAACACAAAGACAGAAATTCATTTCTCAGAGAAAATGTTATTAATGTGTTAAAGTCTGAGAAAGGATCTACTCAATTTCATTATAATAAATGATTAGCTACTTGAATAGCCTGAAATAGTCTAGTGAGGTGATACAAGAACACCAAAATTAAGACGATGGAAGTTAACAGCCCAGTTTTTTTGCTCATTGTACTACCCCACATTCCTCTCAAACTGAAAAATGATTAGATTTAATAAAACTACATTATTGCAGTTAAACTACATTACCTGCAAGCAGCAGTGAATTTAGGACTTAATTTTGAAAGCTAACTTTTTTTTTCTTTTTCTTGATGTTCTTACATTTCGTAGCAGAAGTGCAGGCATTATAATTTGAAAAGATAACATATTGTGATGTTTATGTACTTAGCTTAGATCACTCACAGTAACAAATATGGGCCAATAAAAAAAAAAAAAAATCTATTTTGGGTGGTACTTCAGGCTGAAAGTTATTTTGGTGCTCCTTATGGGTTTTTGTATTGATGAATATGATCGAAATTCAGAAATATGTACTTAAGATTCAGTTCTATATATCTATAAATGATAAAAAATCATTTCATTAAAATTACTAGAGATGTTCATGTTCCTCAGCAATAAAAACAAATTTTTAAATATATAATAATAATTGAATTGAATATTTATACATGATTGATCCGTTTTTGTATTGCTGTTAATTCAATGTTTTATTAATTAGTGTTAAAAAAGTTGGTTAATTTGAGAAAATGGTCGAGGTGCGGTCAATCTAGAATTACTATGTATTAAATAGTATTTTATTATGTTTGTGATGGTTTCAACCTACATTGTAGGTATCAGGGCATTTCATTTGGCCGTTTTTTCACTGACGGAAGAAGTTAAATGGCTGTCGGTCAATTCTAAGTACGGTCAACCAACTTTGGTTTTAATTTCCTAAAAGATTTTTCTAGCAGAGAACTACCTTTTCAGGGACATTATTCATGATTCATTTATGAATTAATAGATTTCTTCTATAATAATGCACTGTATCTTGAAACATTTTATAATTTCTTTCATTTTACAATCTAGGAATCCTTAGCATACCCACATTATATAGATAACTAATAATCACTAATATTTTTGTTTAATTATTTTCAATAATATTTTATCTATTTGAATTTTAAAAGATTCATTCTCAAATTATTTGGGATGTCAAGAGTTCTTTTCATTATTGTGTCCTATTTCATGTATTACCTCATTGAATGTAGAAAAGACTATTCTCTAAAGAGTTTTACTTATTTTTGCTAATTCATTAAAAAAATATTTCAACTTTTCTTAAAAGATTTTTTTAGTAAATAACTGTCCTTTTCAGATTCAGTTATTCATTTATAAATGTATAGATTTTTTTTATATTAATTTATTTTATTTTATCTTATAACATTTCATAATTTCTTTCATTTTTAGTCTGGAAATCCGGAGCATATGCGTATTATTGGTGAAATGGGAATTAGCATTACTCACCTTGATGATGGAAGAATACAGCTGCTCCATACATTTTCTAAGGTACCTCAATTAGTTTTTTTAGTCATATTTTCTCTGTATTTCTGAAAATAAGATAATCGGAGAGGAGGAATGGAGGTGCATTTTATATCCAGAATGGGAATTTTGAGGATATATATTAGATAAAGAATCGAAAATAAATTAAGAATTACTGGATATGGTCTAGTTTTTATTTTAAACTATAAAATTTGCACTTATGTAGGTCAGACTAGACTAGATTGACATTGTTATGTTAAAGAAAAATGCTCTCTCCCTGTTTAGGAAACTTTCTACTTTTATAAAAAAAAAAAAAAAATAAAAAAAAAGCCAATAACTCTAATCAGTTCAACTTTGGCAATATTCGACATAATTTTACAGTGGACTGTATTTTTATTGAATTGGTAGGTCATATGATCTGTGAAAAGCAACACACCCTGTTATGCTGGGATACAGCAAATCTTACTTGGCTTTGGGGGGCACCCTCCAGGCCTTTCTTAGGTGGTCCTCCTACTCCAAGAGCTCTGCCAGAAGTGTGATAGAGAGAGGTTGTAGCTTAAGCTTCTTAATTCTTATCTCTGTTTTCACAACACACCGCAAGGCGGCGTTCGGGTGAAAAATTACAATTTCACAAAACATATCCCCCTCCGTGCAATATCTCATTTCATAAATAAAAAAATTAAACTCATAAATTGGTAATTACCAGGCAATTCATAAACGAGAGAAAAATTGCTTGGTTTACTATAAACAAAGAAAGAAATTATTCGAAATACACTTTAAAAATAGACTGTGTAAGAGTGGAAATCTGCTCTGGACCTGACACACTTCAATCTGGAAAGAAGAGGACCGGCTCCTGATAGACCACCTGAAGTCAATTGCTCTTAATTCTTATGTAAAATATATTACTTTATATGATTATGTGGTTTATAATATTTTTACATCATGTATTTATAATTTATATGTTTAATAGCAGAGATGGGATACATATGTTCAATGCCACCACTGCAAAAGCCCTCATGTAGCCGAAAGTCATGGTACGAATGAATAAATAAATAAATAATGGAGCTCACGAGGAGCTTAGAAATAAATCGAATATACATGGAGCAGAACATCAACCTCTCCCTCTCTTCTCCCCCCTCTCTCGGTGCTCCACATATCCCAACATAGCAGAACATGCATGACTGACACCAGTCATGGCTCTACTAGAAGATTGCTATACAGTAGACTGCATCTTAACTGGCGGAAGCGGTAAAAGGAAAACAATTTTTTTTAACGTCCTTAAAAGCACTTATAACTTTGTGGGATTCTCAACCATTAATTATAAATTAAATTTTTGTTGTGTTGTGGTTCGATAGATTTTAAATAGATTGAAATATAGACAAAAAGATTTTCGGTTCATTATTTTTTTACAATTAACCAAACCTCAACTCAATATAACAAATCTATTCAAAGTGAAATTGATTCATGAAACAAAATCCTTATCCTTCATTTATTTCATTGAAAAATCTTATTTTATTTTTCAATGAAGAAGAGATACTGCGTAATTACTGATGCAGTTCTGTTTAGTACTGTAACTGCGTGTATTACCAACATTAAACATGATACTTTTTTTTGGAAAGGTTTTAGTCGAGGTTTTTGTTTGTGCACTACATTTTTCTATTCAGTTGTGTTACACCTTTCGTTCAATTAACTAGTGCAGCTAACTGCGATGCTTAAAACACAATTTTACACTATGACGAACAACAAGAATCGACTTCAGCATTGGATACTCTTTTTTTGACAAAGTGGAGAGACTATGCTGCTGAGAAGACAGAAGAGGTTCGGTTAAAAAAAAAATTTGTAAAATTTTTTTAAATCATTTAATTGAATTGGCCCAAAAAATGTTATCTTCTTGAATTAATATGTATATAAAAGTTTATTACTTAAGTTATATGTTGTGTTTCAATTTTTCCGAAATATAGAAATTAAAATAATATTGGAGTCTTTTTTTATTTTATACCCACCATATTAATCGGCTCTCCAGCTTAACCAGCGACATCTCAGTCCTGACAAGGACAGACAAGCGGGAGTCTGTTGTATATAATCTTGGAAAAGATTTTCATGGGTATTTTATATTTAACTTTGTAAAATATGTACATTGCTATGTTTTGTGGGAAGTTATTATTCAGGATGCTATTAGATAATTATCCAGAAATATTTAATAAAAATTAATAATAAAAAATTAGTAAAAGAAATTTTGATCTATAATATATTGATTGGTCCAGGAATTTCTTTTCTCAAAGACTTGTTTGTGTTAATCATGCTTTCTAATTACCAACATTACCTGTGACCATCATGATATAAATAGGTGGCAGAATTAAAAATAACTTTGGGTCAATCCATTTGAAATCACCCAGACCATGTTGCTCGACATTTTTGATTTTTATATTTATTTTTTTTTATCAGTTATTCTATATTTATTTGATGGTGCAAAATCATAGTTTAAAAAAAGGTTTAAGTTTCACAGTTTTTTCTAGCCGTCCATTTTTAATTTTCCTTTCAACGGAAAACATGTTTTGGAAAAATGCCTGTAAGTCTTGTTATTTTGAAGATATCGTACCAAAATAAAAACTGAAATAATTTAGAGTATTTTTTCTACATTTTTGTTTATCAATACATCATCTAAAATGAAAGGAAAGTGGTTTAAAAAAAAGTAATGAAAATAGAACAAAAAAAAACTTTTAGCACTGCAAAAGTATAATAAAAAAAAGAGTCTCAACTTTAATTTTTTTTTCATATATAGTCCTACCACTGTACTTCTTGCTGAAGAAATTTCAATCTTGAAAATCTTGTCCTTTTTAAAATATGAATTTTCAAAAATGCTCAAAAGTGATTTTCGGCAATATTCGATGTTATATATCACAAAAGGAAATGAGTGAAAAATGATGAAATTGATACAGTTTATATCTCCATCGGGAAGAAAAATAATGAGACTGGTCTAGCGGGGTTGTGCCCACGGATCAGTTTTAGGACTCCTCTATGGAATATAAACGTGAACCCTCTCCTTGTTAATTCGAGAGCTGCTGGGTATGTATTATCTGCTTACTTGGGCGACTTTGCTTTTTGGATAGAGACAAGATCACGACAACATTGGGAAATAAGGGCAGAGGAAGTCACTAACATTGTCTTGCAATGGTGCCAGGAAAAGAAACTATTGTTAAATTGCCTGGATACTCGACTTCTATTTCTGAAGGGAAAAATGGTGGGGTTCCTTCCCAGAGTAAAGTTGGGAGATGTTATTATAAAACCATCTCAGGAGGTGAAGTTCTTAGGAGTACTATTGGGCGAGAGGTGTAGTTTCATTAATCATCTTAAGACGATAAAGAGCAGAACTATTCTTTGTTATAGCTACGATAGCAGGACTGTCTGTCCTGAGGAGGGAGTCTGGAACCTCAAATATAGTTGCCGGAAAATGCTGTATAAGGTTACTTTCTTGCCTATCACTTTCTATGCATTGTCACCTTGGTCCCGGAAACTTATTGCCAGACATTGGTCTGTTGCAGCAAGCTCAAAGAAGATCTCTCCTACTGGCGACAGGAGTGTATAGAACGGCGCCCACTTTGGCTTTGCAAATGATTGCTGGATAATTTCTGAATGACTGGTTTGAGACGGACTTCTGGACAGTGCAGCTGCTTACGGGCCATGGCGATATAAATGAGAAGGGAAGACCTGAATTGTAGCTGCAGTGCCGTGGAGGATGTGAGACATCTTATATTCAATTGTCCGCTATACACAAACCCTCAACTGGCTCTGGCTGGGGACTATTCATTGTTGGAGTGGCCTCCTCGATCCCTTGACAAACTCATGACGACACCAGAGATGTTTGGTGCCTTCAAGAAGTATGGAAGAAGTAAGATTTTCCTGGAAAAAAGAGCACGGCAGGAGAGGCAGTTACTTTGATATAAAAATATTAAATTATTGTTATTGTTATTTTAAAATTTATTTATAATATTATACATAAATTGTTATACCCATTATTGTCATTGTTAGACTCATCAAAAGTAGGTAGGAAGTTGATAGAGTCCTATTTAGAGGGAACAGCCATTCAGTTGCTGGCAGCCCATTACTGGTATTAATGGCCCAATCAAATTGAGAGACCTAATATTGGCTCAAGAAGTGTTGGATGAAAGTGGGAGCAGGCCTGCCCGCTCAGTTACCAATCCTGGTGACCGGGCCCTAATTAAGTTCGTGGCAAATAGTTATTTTAGGAAATTGGATGTACCGCTGGTATAGGGTTGCCCTAAGGTACAGCAGGGGGGAGGAAGAGAGAGAGGGGTATTACACTTCATTGAATGTTTTTTAGATTATTTTTAATGAATAAATTTGTAAATCATTGTTGGAATATAATTTAGGCTCGAAGTGTGGCAGATGCAAAAGAAGGACTTTTGTTTATGCAAGAAATGTTAGAGGTTGCTAAATCACAAGGACCTGAAACTCTTCCTCAAGCTGTTACCTTCACCTCTGACGGAATAACATATTCCCTTTCTGCTGGCCCAGCTCATTTTGGTAGACAGCTGGTGGGGAATACAAAAGTAAGTTATTATTTATTATTAATTTAACTTTTCAAATTAGTTATCCTTTATTTCTTACAAGCTTCACTTTTTTTCTTTTCTTTTTTTTTTCGCATTTGGTGTTTAAGATTGATTAATTGTAGATTAAACAAACCAAAATAGTTGTAAAAATGTGAGTAAGCCCCTTTTAAAATTCTAATGATTTAAATATTCCATGATCTTTCTTTGAGTTTATTAAATGAAAACTTTCATCCTTACAAATATACATTTATCATATTCTCATGGATGTGATACAGCATTTCCAAGTCAATTTCAACCTTTTCCAAATCAAATTCAACCTGTTCCAAGTCAAATTAAACCTTTCCCATTTCAAATTCAACCTTTTCCAAGTCAAATTCAACCTTTTCCATTTCAAATTCAACTTTCGAATTTGACAATTTTCGATTTTTTTCGAAATAAAGGCCACTTACTATATTATCGAAGGCATAGCTTTTAAAAAATACAAAAAAAAATTTGATAACACGGTTACATATCCATTTATTTTAACATTTTAGATTTTTTCAGTGTAATATTTCTATGTCATAGTCAATTATTTCCAAGTCAAATTCAACCTTTTCCGAGTTAAATTCAACCTTTTCCAGATCAAATTAAACTTTTTCCAAGTCAAATTCAACCATTTCTATTTCAAATTAAACCTTTTCCAATTCAAATTCAACCGTTTTCATTTCAAATTAATGTTATAATTTTTTGTAAATCTTATATATTTTTAAAAATAATGGCCATCCCCTCCCCCCTCCAATATGAAGGTCTATTATTATGCTCTCCTAAGTAGAATTTACACTTACGGATCGATTTGTTGTACCTATTCGGATTTATTAGGGACTTGTATTATGCTGTCCTGTACCTAGTTTTTAAAATAACCTCCATTTTAAGATTACGCCAATGCGTTTTGACTTATTTAAGTTTTTTTTTATTTATTCGATACAAGGGTGTATTCTTATGTTTCTCGAGCCGTAAATTTTGAAAATAAGCTCCATTTTATGATCAGGCCAAAGCGTTTTGACTTATTTAAGTTTTTTGAATTTACCCAATATAAAGGTCTACTTTTATGTTTTCGGAGCCGTAGCTTTTGAAAACGCCCTCCATTTTAAGATTAGGCCACCGCGTTTCGATTTCTTTAAGTGTTTTGAATTTTTTTCATAAAAGGTCGTATTCTTATGTTTCCGGAGTCGTAGATTTTGAAAATGACCTCCATTTTAAGATTAGGCCACCGCATTTCAATTTATTTGAGTGTTTCGAATTTTTTTAATAAAAGGGTGCATTCTTATTTTTCCGGAGCCATAAATTTTGAAAACGATCTCCATTTTACAAATCTACTGCTCCAGAAACATAAAAGTAGACCTTTGTATTTGATAAATTCGAAAAACTTAAATATGTTGGAAACGCAGTGGCTTAATCATAAAATAGAGGTCATTTTCAGAATCCACGGTTCCGAAAACATAATAATAGACCTTTATATTGAATAAATTCGCAAAACTTAAATAAGTCAAAACGCAGTGGCTTAATCATAAAATGGAGGTCATTTTCAAAATCTACAACATAAGAATACACCCTTACATCGAATAATTAAAAAAAAACTTAAATAAGTCGAAACACAGTGGCCTAATCTTAAAATGGAGGCCATTTTCATAATATACGGCTCCGGAAACATAAGAATACGACGTTTTATGAAAAAAATCCGAAAAACTCAAATCTACTGCTCCAGAAACATAAAAGTAGACCTTTGTATTTGATAAATTCGAAAAACTTAAATATGTTGGAAACGCGGTGGCCCAATCTTAAAATGGAGGTCGTTTTCAAAATCTACGGCTCTGGAAACATTAAAGTAGACCTTTATATTGGATAAATTATAAAAACTTCAATAAGCCAAAACGCAGTGGCATAAACATAAAATGGAGGTCATTTTCAAAATTTACGGATTGGAAAACATAAAAATATACCTTTATATCGAATAAATCAAAAAAACTTAAATAATTCAAAAGGCAGTCAGGTAATCTTAAAATGGAGGTTATTTTCAAAAACTACTCATATGATAACAGACCAACACATCGAAAAATTAAATAAATAAAAAAGTTTGAATTTGAAATGGAAAAGGTTGAATTTGACTTGGAAAAAGTTTAATTTGATTTGGAAAAGGTTGAATTTGACTTGGAAAAGGTTGAAATTGACTTGGAAATGCTATATATGCATCATGGGAGTATGATCAGTGAGTGATCTTGATCACTGATATTCTAATGCTTTTATTAGCTTTTTCTTTTGAAATATCTATCTACTAGTTGATGATCTCTTCATCAAAGATTAAATATTCTTTAAAGAGAACTTCTGGAAAATCATGGAACTTCCTTCATTTGATCATTTAAATTGTGTAGGTTTTTTTTCTGAATTCACAGTTAATTAAGAAAAAAATAAATTCTCTGTGTATGTGTCTCAGATTCACATCTTTGTTTTTGTTTGTTTACTGCACTTACTACACTAAGTACATTAGAAACCTAAATTTTTCTTGAAGTTTCGTTCTATATATTTTTTAAAATGCAGAAGTAATAAAATCACAATGTTTGAGATTATTAGAATGTTTTTAGATCTATAACTGCTGGTATATGAGTGTTATTCGATTGGTCATTTTAAAGCTTACTGTAAGGAATTTCGATTCATATCCTAAAAACAAATCATTTAAAAAAAAAAATCAGTAATAATAAAAACACATAATTTGATCACAACAGTCCTACTTTATTTCTTTTTCTACAGCAACCTTTCAGCCCTTAAGCCATTTTCAATGAAAGAAACCTTTACCAAATAAAATAATCACTACAGCACAATTACACTTGCTCTAATTATTTAAATTTTATACTTTATATTTATATATCTACTTTAAATAATGAAAATCATATGGATTGGATTGCCCTCGTGAATATAACTTAAATACTAAAACCACCGTTAATATTTATTTTAAACTTCTTCACATTTCAAACTAAAATTTTTAAAATTAAAAATTACATTATTACATTATCTTTATTTATTGTTAAACTAGTTCATAAACATTATATTATAAATAATTACAATTTATTCACAGCCTTCATATTATTAATTCAACATATTTAAAAAACAAAACATAATTGTTATTGTTCTATTATTTTTTATGAATTTAAAAAAAAAAAAAACATAATTTTTATTTCTAAAATTCAGTTCTACAATTCAATAAAACACTTTAATATTTAAAATTTAATGTAAATTATTTTTTAAACAAATTTCTAAACTTATTATATTGCATTTCAATATATTTATAAATTAATTTTATTTATTATTTCTCCATAATGTTTTTGACCTTGAATCTGAATAGAAATTAACAGTATAATCTATGTTCTCTGTCCACCAAATTTTTTCTGCCTGTAGTTTTCTCCTTTTGTAGAATTTAAACCTTCTCAAAATCAAAATTATGTTCATTACTGAAAGCATGTTGTACCCAGTGTTGGGCAAAATTTATCTTAAATAATAGATAATGGATAACAAATAATTTATCCGAACTTTCAACTACGAATAACTAATAATTTATCTTTTATCTAGATAATAAATAAATTCAAGCTACCTATTGTCTTTTTATTTGTTATTCGAGTTTTTCAAATAAATTTCTAATAATTTGACGCTAATTTTATTTTTTTTCTATAGAAGGGCATATTTATATATTTTCAGATCCATAGTTTATGAAAATGATCTTCATTTTAAGATTACGGGCAACGACTTTTTGGATTTGGTTATTAGGGTCAACTATTATGTTTTTTTTTGTGGGGGGGAGGCACTTTTTATGAAAATACTGTCCGATGTGAGATTGCGCCCTTGGGCATAGACTTTTTGTAACTTTTCGAATTTAATCGATATCAGAGTTGGCTATTATATTTTGGCGGGCGCTTTTTATGAAAAACTGTTGGATTTGAGATTACGCCCCCAGGCATCGACTTTTTGCAACTTTTCAGATTTAATCGATAACAAGGTCAACTATTGTGTTTTGAGGGGCGCTTTTTGTGAAAATACTTTCGGATTTGAAATTGTGGCCCGGGGCATCGACTTTTTGTAACTTTTCGGATTTAATGGATATCAGAGTTGGCTATTATATTTTGGCGGACGCTTTTTATGAAAAACTGTTGGATTTGAGATTACGCCCCCAGGCATCGACTTTTTGGAACTTTTCAGATTTAATCGATAACAGGGTCAACTATTGTGTTTTGAGGGGCGCTTTTTATGAAAATTCTTTCGGATTTGAAATTGTGGCCCGGGGCATCGACTTTTTGTAACTTTTCGGATTTAATGGATATCAGAGTTGGCTATTATATTTTGGCGGACGCTTTTTATGAAAAACTGTTGGATTTGAGATTACGCCCCCGGGCATCGACTTTTTGTAACTTTTCAGATTAAATTGATATGAGGGTAGACTATTATGTTTTGGAGGGCGCTTTTTACGAAAATACAGAGTGATTGATGATTAGAAAAAGGCAAAAAGGACTATAAGTAAAAATTACAAATTATAGAGTATTTTACTCAAATACTAGCGCGGTTCGAGTATTGAGCACTTCAATCAGTACTAAACCTAATAATAGAAAAAGTAATCAGCAGTCCTCGAGAGTACTTTGCATTATCAAATTTACTCAGAATTATTTTACTTATCGAATCCATTATTTAACAAATTTCAGGTGTAGAATATTTTATATTTCAATTTATCTCAAATCCGACAGAATTTTCATAAAAATCGCCCTCCAAAACATAATAGTCGACCATGATTTCGATAAAATTCGAAAAGTTACAAAACGTTGATACGTTGATATTTATATATTTTCAGATCTACAGTTTATGAAAATGATCTCCATTTTAAGATTACGGGCAACGACTTTTTGGATTTGGTTATTAGGGTCAACTATTATGTTTTTTTTTGTGGGGGGGAGGCACTTTTTATGAAAATACTGTCGGATTTA